CCTTGTTGCCCCCATTAGGGCTCTGAAGAACATAACGAGGGTGAAGGGGTCATGGTTATGACGACGGCTGACATTTATGGAGCATCTATTACTTGTCAAGCACAATTTATTAAGGCCTGTGTACACAGGATGCGGGTTAATCCCCTGGATGAGCCTCGGAGTAGACAGGTGGGCTCAGGGTGTGAAAAGATTCACGTCTCAACGGACCTGAAGCATACACGACTAGAGAGTTCTCCCTCTTTAAGGAAAAAAAATGAAAATCATCTCTGCAAAACTCACATGGCCCTGTGAAAACATCTCCAGGGCCCCCAGAATCTTGAAGGAGTCCAGAGAGCAAAGAGCCTGGAAGCTTAAATTTTATGAGCCTCATTTGACAGAGGAGGAAACTGAGCCCCAGAGGGGAAGTGATGGGTCCAAGGTCCTGGGGAGGGGGCGGGGGCTGGAAGCCAGGTCAGACTCCAGCGTCTCTGCTCTTACCCCTAACCCTCACCCTTTGCTACCCGGCTGACATTTCCTGTGGCTCCCCCAAAACTGTCCTTGGACCATGGACTCTACCCCGCTGACCCGCAGCACCAGTGCACACCCACCCATGCCTCCAGCTCAACCAGCCTCCTCTCCCCATCTCTCATCCTGTTCCACTTCTCCTGGAAATAATCCCCGGCAGTCCATCTTCCCCAAGCCATCCTGCCCTGACCTCTCTTCCTTACACAGCACAGCTTGAGCACCCTGGGGTTCTGTGTGTGGGAATCTCATCCCCAGGGTGCTGTGAGATGGCTGCGGCAAAGGCAAAGCCTGCATTCTGTCTGCATCCCTCAGATTCCATCGCTCCTTTGCTTTATCTCTGTTTTCGGAGCATCTATGAGTCAAGCATGAGACTTGGGTCTCATGGGAGCTGTCACTATCCTCAGAGAAATGACCCATGTCCCATATGGCAGAACTGGCTCTGAGGGATCAGTCTGGGGCTGGGAGGGGGCTTCGGATCCAGGTTTGGGGTCATGGGTGGCTTCCTGGGGGGCCACTGGCATCCAGTGGCCATGGAGCAGGATTGCACTGCAGAGAGGGACCAGCTTGGGCCAAGGTCTGTGGTGTGTATGGGCATCAGGTGCTCCCAGGCTGCAGAGGAGGGTGAGGAAGAGAGGGTGTTGTGGGATGACAGAAGTCAGGCTGCTGACCAGGGATCAGGTCAAGATGGCCTTTGTACATTTCTCTGCAGACTTTGAACTTGATCCTGGGGTCTGGGAGTCCTACCATCCAATAGTGATATGGTCAAACCAATCAATCTAGTTGCAGAAATGGATGGAGCAGGAGAGAGAGAGGCTGATTAGGGGGCTGCTGCAGTAACCGAGGGGAGAGACAGCAGGGATCTGAGCTTAGGAGCGGCAGCAAGGACAGGAAAGGCCGGTGGCCTTTGCTTCCTCTGACCCCTCACTCACTCTTCTCTACCACGGGAACCTTTTGCTCTTTCTCTAACACACAAAGCCTGTTCCTGCCTCAGGGGCTTGCACTTGCCATTCCCACCTCCCCGAACTGCTCTTTCCCTTGGTAGGGGCACGCTGGCAGAGTCTGCACACCTTGATGGTGGAGCCGGGATGTGAACCGGCCTGGCTGATTCTGCAGCTTGTTGTCATGTTTGGTTGTCCTGGCTACAGGCAGACAGGCTGGGACCACAGCCAATCCAGCAGTGACAGCAGCATCAGGACGTGCTTAAGGACACGCCTCCCACACTGCATAGCCTTGGGCCCTGGCACCTTGCTTGGGAATACGATGTCCCTGGGCAGGGCGCTGATCTTTCCATGCCGTGGTTCCTCATAGATACCCGGGAAACAAGCGAAGTCTGAAGTGGGACTGAGCAGCGTCTGTCTACACGACGGGCTTAGAAAGTCCCTGGACGGTGCGTGCCAGAGAAGGATCAGTAATCAAGATGAATCTGGCAGATCTGTGGGGCTCAGCGTGTCTGACGCGATGAGCTTCGCTTTGGGCACACATTCCACCCTCTTCCCTCAAGATACAAATAAGAAACCCCTGAGAACTTCCATGGAAAGAGCCCACGAGGAACCATGCTGCAGAACGAACAGCCAGGAGGAACGTGACTTACGGTCCCAAGGAGACACAGCTGCAGGTCAGTAATCAATACCTACTGTGTGGTGTGCGCGAGTCTCCACCACCAGACACCCCGATGCTGCATATGTTTATTAAAAATGTGTTCCCCATTACCGCGATTCTCTGAATGAAAACACTGTCGACACTTCAACAGGGCTCCGACATCGAGGCTGCGGTGTGATCTACGGGCTTCCTGCTTCCTCGCAGCTTCTTTGTTTGGGGTTCTTTGTTCCCTGCTTGAGAGGACTTGGTGGATCGGCACTGGGTGCAGAATTGAGTGTCTCTGGGGATGAGGAGCGGGGTGGTGCAGAGAAACAACACAGTCCTTAAAGCCAAAGGACGGTCCTATCTATGTTTCTGTCGTCTGCACAAATGGGGTCATTCGGTCCATTATATAGGCATTTTTTATTCCCTCTTTCAGCTATTTATTCAACAGGCATGTCGGCACTGTGGCAAATGGACCCATCCTCAGGCCCTGGTATGTGCCCCGCAGGTCCCCTCCCTTGCGTGTGACCGTACTCTAGTAACGGCTTCAAGCCAATGGACTATGGCAAAGGCAAGGGTATGCTGCAGGTTCAGCTGCTAAGTTAGTCCATCTCTGAGTTTAATCGAAAGGTAGATGGTCCTGGGTGGGCCTGGCTTAATCAGATGAAAGCCTGTAAACAAGGTGGGGAGCTGCCTGAGGCCAGACATCGCCTCTCCTGCTGCTGTAGGTTATACAGCACAAGACAGTGACTGCAGCCAACCACCTACCTGAATTGAAAGCAGATTCTTCCCCAGTCAGGTTCTCAGATTGACAGCCTGGCTGACACTTTGAGTGTATACACTCCTGTGAGGTCCTGCAAAGGGGACCCAGCTCTTCTTTCTTGGCCTGCTGAGCCGAAAAGCCAGGAAGTAAGAGATGCGTGTTAGTGCTCTAAGCCTGTAGCATCTGTCATGCAGCAACAGAAAAACAACACAAGCTCCTGTTGTGTGCCAGACACTATAAAAGTTGATGGGGATTAAATGACACAGCAGACAGTCTCCTACCACGTTCTGCATAGGTGTGCACCATGCAGCACACAGTGAGTGCTTGACAGAGGACTAGAAAGCCCAGACTGTCATCTGATTTCCCTTCTGCGTGACCTTCAGCAAGTCAGGTAGCTTCTGGGAGCTTCTGTTTTCTCAGACAGAAAAAGGGGATGGCCAAACTCTGCCTATGTGGTTATTGTGGCTTAGGTCTCGAATGCCCTCCACAAGCCTTGTATATTCAGAGGCGGGGCTTCTGGAAGGGGTTGGACCATGGGGGTGCTGTAACCATAGGGGGTGCTGTAATCACTGGTGAATCCTTAGCTGAATGTGCTGTTCGGAGGTGGAGCCTGGCTGGGAGGTCCCAGGGGTGTGACCCGGAAGGGCTTGTCTCCCTTCCAGGCTTCCGTTCACTCTGTTTCATGACTGCCATGATATGAGCAGTTTTCCTCCATCCTGGCCGCCACTGTGCTTCCAGCCATGGAAGGGCCGTAGGTTCTGAAACATGAGCCCAACTAAACCTCTGCTCCTTTACCTTGTGGGTGTTGGGTGTTCTGTCCCAGAGATGGGAAAGGAACTAAGACAGTGTCCCTGGTGAGGGTGCTTTGGAAATCACTGATTGTAATAGAATGGATCCTTTTTCTCTGATCTCGTAGTCTGTGCCCACTGACATAAATATCACCACCCTTGTGTACAAATGAACCATAGGACAGCCCGCTTGCTGCCTACCTCAGTATCCTTCTTCTTGTATAACAAGGCCTCTAATTTCAGGAGGGCACACGGCCACCCAGCATACGTATCACACCTCCCAGTCTCACTTGGGGGAGCTTGGCCATGCAACTAGGTTATAGACCTATGCAAATATAAGTAGAAACGGGGTTAGATATTGTAGAGAAATGTCCTTCAGGAAGAAATGCCAGATAAAGCACAGGATGCCTCTTCAATTTGAATTTCAAATTTAAGCAAAAATTTAAGAAAAATATTATGTCCCAAAGGCTAAGGCTAAAAAATATCTTTCATGTAGCCAGGAAGGTGAGGGGTCCTTGAAGGAGGGTAACCTATACACTGTGTCAACAGGTATGGAGGGGGTTCTCCAATCCCTTGCGCTGGAGCTGAGACATCCATGGCCCCTGGTGAAGAGTCCTTGAGTGGAACGATATCATCTTGTTCCTGGCTATGTTGGCAGCACCCAGATTGTCCCAGCACATAGTAGGGCCTCAAAAATATGTTGAGATACTGAAGTGAATGAACTATCTAAAATCTGCCTGTGGTTTCTAGTGAGGAATCCAAAATACTGTGCTCTGCTCCATACAACTGAAGTAGAGAGGAAAGCCACGGATCATGATGGCCAAACTGCCAACAGTGATAGCGGCCGTCAGAACGACCAATGCCAGCACCATGCCCAGCACATCCACGCATCTCATCTAAACTCACTGGACCCACAGCATAGCTCCTACACCAGCTGCATCCACCAGAAAGGGAAGCTGAGGAACAGTGCCTTACCCAGTGATCTGCAGGCAGGACAAAGATCCTGGACTTGAACCC